ACTCATTTATATATAAAGCTATTTCTCATGCATTAGAAATATGTTATAGTATTGGTGGATAAGGTACATGGTTTTCACGTCTCGAGATGTGGGTTCAAGCCTTTGAAATGGACGTTTAAAGAAAATGTCTTTTTGCTATTTTTCCATGCTATTTCACATAAATTTGTACTTAATGCAAAAACTAAGAATGTACTTTAGTTTATTCAACATCCTACCTTCATTTCTTTCTATTATAACATTGTACTTTTGTTTTTATTATATATGACATTGTACTTTGAAAAGTGTACACAAATACAATATTGTATTTCCATTCTTTCTCTCCTTATTATATCCTTCTACTTCGTAAAATTGATCCAATTATATCCGTTCAAATTGTTTTGTATTTGGATGAATTTGTTATATTTTGTATATTTTTTTAAAGTGGAATGTTGTAATAGGAAGAAATCAAATAAAGTATGTTGCTATTTATTACATATAACCCTATAAAGTTTGGTAGTTTGACTGACCACCTTTTTGGTTTTGCCTCGGGCCTAAAATATCTTGTGCACCTTTTTGATATTTTCATGTTTAATTTTACATCTTCTTTCTTCATTTGCAGGGTTGCTTGCAATCTCCGCGTGTGTTTGCCAACAACACATCTAGTACAGGCACCATAGTTCATTTTGAACTCGATGATTTGAATCTGGAAATGGCCAACGAATATCAAGAATCTTTGAAAGCAAGCCTTTTTATCGTGGAAACAAACACGATTTCAGTGTTGCATATCGCAAAAATTGTCCTGGATTTCGGAAAAAAGGCAATAGATTCAGTTTCTCAAGATGGGTCCAACTTAAAATCAGTCCTCTCAGTTGACATAACTAGTATCGGTATGTGCTTGACATTCAATAGTGTCCAATCCTTATTATCTACCGCTTTAATGTTCAAGGCATTACTGAAAAGCCCATCGCCAGCTGTTAATACATCATCTTCCACGCAAAGTGAGGCACCTCGTCCAAACAAGTCATCAGGGAAAGGGATCCAATTAGTAAAATTTAACCTCGAAAGGTGTTCAATGAATCTCTGCAGTGACGTAAGCTTGGATAACGAGATTGTTGATGATCCAAAACGTGTGAATTATGGATCACAAGGTGGCCGTGTTCTTATTAGTGTTTTACCTGATGGGACTCCTCGTACTGCAAAAGTAGAATCAACAGCTTCCGATGATTTCAAAACGGTAAAATATTCGATCGGACTCGAGCTTATCCATCTGGGCTTGTCTATAAACAAAGAGAAACAGTCGACTCAGGTGGACATAGAAAGAATAACATCAGCATATCGGGAAATTATGGAAGATGAGAGTTTCGGCACTAAAGTGTCATTGTTTGACATGCAGAAAGCAAAGTTTGTTAGGAGGGCAGGTGGTCTTAAAGAGGTATCCGTTTGTTCTCTTTTTAGTGCCACTACGATCACTGCCAGGTGGGAGCCCGATGTTCAATTAGCATTAATTGAACTAGGGTTACGGCTAAAGCTACTTGTTCACAATCATAAGCATCAAGAACAAGAACAAGAACAAGACCTCACCAAGGATAAATGTAGCAGTAGTAGTATAGATAAAGAAATTAAGAAAGAAGAGTCGGTAAAGAAAAAAGAATCTCTTTTTGCGATTGATGTGGAGATGCTTACGGTGACTGCTGAAGCTGGAGATGGTGTAGAGACAATGATTCAGGTTCAATCAATTTTTTCTGAAAATGCACGCATAGGTGTACTTCTTGAGAGACTAATGCTAAGTTTTAATGCAACAAGAGTGTTCAAAAGTGGTAGGATGCAACTTTCCCGCATTCCTAATGCCTCTGATCCGGCTGTTAAGTGGGATTATGTGATTCAAGGCCTTGATATGCATATTTGCTTGCCATTTAGATTGCAGTTACGTGCTCTCGATGATTCTTTTGAGGAAATGTTGCGAGCTTTAAAGCTTGTAGCTGCTGCTAAACAGAAAATAATATTCCCGTTTAAGAAAAAAGAGAGCGAGAGTGGGAAACCGAAAAAACCAAGCTCTTCAAAACTTGGTCGTGTGAAGTTGTATATACGTAAGTTAACTGCTGAAATTGAGGAGGAACCATTGCAGGGTTGGCTTGATGAACACTATCACTTAAGGAAAAAAGATGCCCGTGAAATGGCTATTCGATTAAACTTTCTGGATGATCTTCTTTCCAAAACTACCCAATCTCCAGCTCATGTTCCTGTTGGTGATTCTGACGATGATGGCCAAGATAAGACCACATCCACATCCACATCCACATCCACATCCACATGTGTGCATGATGCATCGTCTCTTGAAAAAATGAGAGAGGAACTCTATAAGAACTCATTTCGATCTTATTATGAAGCATGCCAGGCCCTTGTGATATCACAAGGATCGGGTGCCTGCCAGGAAGGATTTGAGTCAGGGTTCAAGTTTAGCGCATCAAGAACCTCTCTTTTCTCCGTTATTGGCACAGCACTTGACATAACCTTGACAGAAATTGAAGGTGGTGAAGCAGGGATGATACAAATTGTACAGAAGCTTGATCCGGTTGCTCGAGAATCTAACATTCCATTTGCTCGTGTTTACGGTTGTAACCTTAATCTGCAGGCGGGTTCACTTGTGGCTCAGCTAAGAGACTATACATATCCTCTTCTTGCTGCAACTTCTGGTAAATGTGAAGGTCGCCTTGTGCTAGCTCAACAGGTCAAATAACACCTTATCTTCTTAATTGCAAACAGTATTCCATTTCTCATTTCTTCTTTTTCCAATTTCATTCAGTAAAGGTTGCCACCATTACCCTCATATATTTTCATACGAACAACGGTGTTGTGCTATATATAAAATGATCTTTGCAAGTATTATATAAAAATGGTGCTTCTTTAATGGTATTGAAGAGAAATCACTACTTAGAAATTAATCCAGGAGAAAATAGAATATTTGAGATTCACAGTGCTTGAGCATCATGTATTTTTCATGGTTATTCTTGTAAACATCTAGAGTTGTTGCGTTGTTAACGTCATACCATTTTTGTTTTACGAAATGTACTTGCACAAAGTAGCGTGAAGTCAGAAACCAATTGTGTAGTGTGATTAATATATACTAGTTTATGAATGTGATGATAGATTGTTTTCATTGTCACACTCTGATTATTGATCTGTGTCAGGGCCGGATGTATTCTGAATGATTCTCCTGATTGCAGGCTACACCTTTCCAGCCCCAAACTCTTCACCAGGTGTATATTGGTAAATGGAGGAAGGTGGAAATGTATCGTTCGGTTGGTGGTACAACCCCACCAATGAAAACATTTTTAGATTTGTCGTTGCATTTTCAGAAAGGAGAAGTTTCATTTGGAGTAGGGTTTGAACCAGTTTTAGCCGATTTGAGCTATGCATTCACTGTAGCTTTACGCAGGGCCAAGTTAAGTGTTAGGGACCCGAATCCCTTTGTTGTTCCTCCAAAGAAAGAGAAAAGCTTGCCATGGTGGGATGAAATGAGAAACTACATCCATGGAAAAACCACCTTATCTTTCTCCGAGATGTTATTTAACATCCTTGGCACAGCCGATCCTTATGAAAAATCTGAAAAACTCCAAATGTCTTCTGGGCATATCGAAATCCAGCAATCCGATGGCAGGATTTACATTTCTGCAAGGGAGTTGAAGATTTTTACAAGCAGTTTGGAGAGTTTGCTGAAAAACTCAACCATCAAACCTCCAGCTGGCACCCAGGGTCCTTTCTTCATAGCCCCAACTCTCATTCTTGAAGTTGCCATGGATTGGGGGTGTGACTCTGGTAACCCTCTTAACCATTTTTTGTTTGCACTCCCGTCTGAAGGTGAAGCCCGTGAGTATATATTTGATCCTTTCCGATCCACTTCCCTCTCCATGCGGATTAATTTGGCTCTCAGACCTCAGAATCAATCACAGTCCAAAGATAGTTCATTTGATTCGCCTACTATAAGTCTTGCCCCTCATGATATTTCTTGGCTACTAAAATTTGGGAATTTGAATTACCTCCCTCCTGTAAAACTGCGTTTTTTCTCTCGTTACCCCCGGTTTGGTGTCCCAAGAGTTGCGAGATCGGGAAACTTGGCATTAGATAAAGTCATAACAGAAATTATGTTTCGGGTTGATTCAACTCCAACCCGCATACGACATATGTCTTTAGATGAAAGTGATATAGCAAAAGGATTGACTTTTAAGATGTCAAAGCTAAAATCCGAAGTGTATCTAGGTCGTGGAAAGCAAAAGTTCACTTTTGATAGCAGGCGTGATCTTCTTGATGTTGTTTACCTTGGTGTTGATCTTCATATGCCTAGGGTGTTTCTAGATAGGGAAGATCCAACAAGTGTTATCAAAGTTACAGCATCCAAGACCACCTCACAAGAAAAAGTTGTAAATGATAATTCCGGAGGGTTTTTATTGTCGTCTGATTATTTTATCATCAGAAAGCAATCCCCCAAGGCAGACTGTTCACGATTATTGGCATGGCAAGAATCTTGCAAAAAAAGTATAGAGATGAAATTTGGGGCATCCATATGTCGACGTGGAAGTGATAGTGATGATCAAGAAAGGTCCGACCCAAGTGATGATGATGGATATAATGTTGTGATATCTGATAATTGTCAGCGGGTTTTTGTGTATGGGCTTAAGATCCTTTTAGCAATTGAGAACCGAAATGCTATTTTGTCGTGGGGTGCTGAGTTAGGTAAAGCAGTCGCACCTCCAAAACCTTCTCCTTCTCGTTTGTATGCCCAGAGGAAGCTTCTAGAGGACCAAAATAAAAGTGTCCCGCTTCAAGAAGATGTCTCCAACACCATCGCTTCTACTGATCAAACTGAAACTGCTTCTCCCAAATCAAAGGAACCTTCAAAATCAGATCAGTCTCCATCACCATCAAATAACATAGAACATCAAACATTTGATGATATCGGTAAGTGCAAACCCACCTTAACAAAAAATATCTGGATAAATGCAAGAACTAGCAACATACTTCCATTTTGCTTAGTTTATTTTTTCATCCTCTACTTTCTTTCATTTCTTCCTATTACAACATTGTACCTCGAAAAATCTACCCAATGACATCCAAAAAACAAAGCAATCTTTCATGCCATGATTGGATAGATTTTTCTAAGTAGAATCTCCCCATACGAAAAAAATTGCATCTAATTTCAGAGTACAATGCCATAATACGAAGAAAAGTGAAAGTAAAGAAATGGATGTAGGATGCTATATTAATCAAATGAATGGAAGTATCTTGCTATTTATTTCATTTAGCCCTGAAAGTTGTGTTGAAGAAGTAGGATATAGACACTGATCTAATCAATTTATGGGTTTTCATTATCAAACATCACTTGGTATGTCTAAAGGTTTCAGTGTATTTTGACAGCAAAGCATGTCAATGTAGATGGCCCTCAGGAGGATGAGGAGGGCACTTGTAATTTCATGGTGAATGTTATTGAGCCCCAATTCAATCTTCACTCAGAAGATTTCAATGTAAGTTGTTGAGGTCTTAGATTTGATATTTTTTCTTAATATAATCACTTGAAACTGGTTTAAGGATCCTATTATTATCGATTTCACATAAGAATAAGGAGAGAACGGTTGAAAAGGGGGATGGTGTGTGCGTGTTTAGTTTGGGTTTAATTCCATTTTCTGGTTTTCCACAAGCTTAAAATCACCACCTTCTTAAATGGTCCCTTATGGAGTTCTTTTAAAATTTTGATAGTTTCTTTTTCCTTCTTTAACAATGGATTAATTAATTATTGAGCGTTTCAACTTGTTTTTTATTTTTTTGATGTATAATAAAAAAAATTGAAAGTAGGACACTATAATATACGAATAAAAGAATGAAAGTATGTTGTGTTTTACATTCAGTCCTATAAACTAGAACTAAGACATGGTTCTGATAATAAAAAAGTCGAACCTTTTAACAAGTCCAGAAAAACGTTTGTATATCGATTATGTGGTGCATGGTAAGGATCTGAGTATGTTAATGTTGAACAAACAGGGTAGATTTTTGGTGGCTGCTTCTAGTGGGAGAGTTTTAGGTCGGTCATTTCATAAAGTTGTAAATGTTGTATTAGAGGCGATTGAAGAAGCTGCTGCTGCTGCTGGTGGTGGTGGTGGTGATGGTGGTGGTGGTGGTGGTGGTGGTGATGGTGGTGTTGATGCAGGATGTGTTCCTGAACTGATATGGAACCGGTCAGAGCTGTCTGTGATGTTGGAACACGTGCAGGCTCATGTTGCTCCTACTGACGTGGATCCAGGGGCTGGAGTCCAATGGCTACCAAAGATTAGGAAGAGCTCCCCAAAAGTAAAGCGCACTGGGGCTTTACTTGAACAGGTCTTCACCCCTTGTGATATGTACTTCCGCTTCACAACACACAATGGTGGAACAGCAGATTTAAAGGTCTCCCCACTAATTCTTATTTATAATATGCTTCTTTCTAGAAATACCGAGTTTTTAGTAATAGATAAGATAACCCTCGATTGGATTTTCTGAAAACCAAAAGACTATGCAGTTTTGAGTGGTTCTACCCTACCCGTAAGCCTACATTTCATTAACCTCTTGAGATGAAAGGCGGCATGTTGAAGTTGAATCACTCCAATGAATTACATGTGTTGAGTGAAAAGGAATAGAATATTAAGGAAGAACAATAATAACTCTAGAGACCACTCTCCAGTTTCATTTTCATTGGTTCTGAGGCGATATCTTTGCAGAAACTGGATGAATAATATCAACCATAGAGTTGGAGTTTCAATTCCAATGTGGATAGGAATTCTTGTGCCACCTAATTTACATCTCACATGATGCTCACCAGCTTAGGCCTTTTGTAGAGACAAATTCACCATAGGTCTGAAATGTATTACTTAAGTCGTTGAAACTTTTATTTTTCAGGTGAAACCTTTAAAAGAACTCGCTTTTAATTCTGATAATATGACAGCAACCATGACATCTCGTCAGTTTCATGTTATTCTTGATGTTCTCAACAATGTACTCTTGGCCAGACCACCAAAGTATGATTCTTGATCCTCATCTACTCTTTGCCATCAAGATATATATATATATATATATATATATATATATATATATATATATATATATATATATATATATATATATAGGGCTGAGTTATTGTGCAAACCAAAAAAATGTGAGAACTTGCAAACTCATAATCTACTAATCATTTTTCAAAACCAAAAACACTCATCTTCTCCAAATGATGCGTCTAAACCATATCTAAGCTAAAAAAGATTTGATAATTTTGTTGATTCATTTTGGAAATTTGCATATAGTCAATATGACTGCTGAATGTGTTCATCAACGGTCCATATGACTGCTGATTGTGCATAAATCCACATTTCCAAAAAAACCAAAAAAAAATAATAATAATAAATCGTCAAATCTTTTTTTGAGCCTAGATATGGCTTAGACGCACAATTTGAAGATTGGTGGTTTTGATTTTGAGAAATGATGAGTTGATTATGAGTTCGCAAGTTCTCACAAATCTTTTGGTTTTCAAAAGAACTTGACTCTCTCTCTCCATCTCTCTCTCTCTCTCTCTATATATATATATATATATATATATATATATTTATATATATAGCAACACACTTTAATTTATTTTCATATTATGTCATCCTAATTCCAATCTTTTCTATTACAATACTGCACTTTCAAGTTTTTCTTATTAAGGCATCGTACTTCAAAAATACACCCAATTATAGCATTGTATTTTTAATTACTTTTCTAGTATACCTTGAAGAATCTACCCTTTTATAGTAATGACAAATTGCTTTATATTTTTGGATGCTGCGGCTATAATTGGTAGATATTTCAACGTGCAATGCTGCAAGTATAAGAAATAAAAGTAGGATGAATGTACATTGATATTTCTTGCATTTATCCCTATAGTTTTAGGGATAAAAGTAAGAGTTTCCTGGAGGGAAAGAAAGTTTCTTGTATTAAAGCTTGTATGTAATTCAGGCCTCAAAAAAGTAGCATTCTTAAATCAGCAGAAGATGATGAAGAGATGGAGGAGGAAGCTTATGAGGTGGTGCCTGCTGGTATTGAAGAGGTAGAACTAGAAAGAGTCAAACTTGAACAAAAGGAACGCATACAAAACTTGCTTTATGAGGATATAAGGAACCTTTCTCTTCCATCTGATACCGTTGTAGATTTGCCCTCAGAAAAGGAAGGGGATATACTCGCCGTAACCTCCACCAGACCTATATTGGTAACATCCACACCTTTTCAACTAATTAATTCAGATAATAAATGGCATAATATATGTAATATTCATATTATATATTTTAGTTTTATACTATTATTTAAATAAACCGATCCACATCCAAACCTTTTAGCATGCCACCGAAAATAAATGACAAAATATAGCACTTCCTGTGGACTATGGAGAGTGTTGTTTACTTTCAGTGTCCATGGCGTAGATAGTCGCATTTATGTGGGGTTCATTATGGTATAATATTACTATATCAACTGAATTTCTCATTAGTGAAAGTTACTAATGAGAAATTGGTAGAGAGGTACAGTATATATAAGAAAACTAGAACTTGATCTTCACAGGTGCAAATGCTTAGGAAAGAGGTCATTAATGCACAAAAATCCAGAAAGGCTGTGGCTGCTTCTTTGAGGGTGATTTTGCAGAAAGTTGCAGAGCAACAACTAATGGAGAAAGAGAAAGAGAAGAATAAAGGCCCGTCATGTGCCATGCACGTATCTTTTCAGTTGAAGAAAGTTGCATGGAGCATGCTCCTCGATGGAAAATCTATTTCAGAGATCGAGATAAATGACATGGTAAGGATTACAATATTCTTGTTTTTTTTTAAGACTTTTAGTCTGCATTTGGCACACTGGACTACTGGACAGACTTTCTAGGGCTATTTTGATGGGAGGGCGGCATTCATGTGTGTTTTCGTAGGACACAAAAAATTTCAAAAATTCTGTCCAGTCGTAGTCCAGTGCAAGCCAAACACAGTAAGTAGTATAAACTGTTGAAGGTCTTAAGCATTCTGGTTTTTGGTTTGTTTTGTTTCTATGGACCTATTATGGAAATTATATATCAATCCTTGTTCTGTATGCAGATATACGATTTTGACAGAGATTATAAAGATATTGGTGTTGCTAGATTCACAATAAAGTGTTGTGTTGTGAAAAACCGCTTGCCTAATGCTAAATCAGATACACTTCTGGCCGCATGGAATCCTCCTTCCGAATGGGGAAAGTAAGTAAATCTAGATTGCCAATACTCTCTCGCTGATTTTTACCTTTGCAGGTTACCGATATCCACAATTGTAATTCTCATAAGAATGAACCTCATGTATGCTAAATTCAGTGCATTCAGTTCACTCTTGATGACCTTGACCATGCAAAAGCTTTCATTTCATTGTTCTTGTCATGTCACCTCCTTTCCTTGTTGTCTTGAGGCATTTTGGCAAGCATTTGATAATCCCCAACTAATTCTAGAGTGCTTTAGTAGAGTTATTCTGTTATTTTTTGGCTTTATGGGTAGAATGGTCTTTTGGTATTATGGTTGTTCTTGGCTGTTTTGTTATGTTAGGAGCACTATCTTTGTCTGTCCCAGGTCTGTTTTTGGGACCACTTCCCAAGTTATGTCTAGTAGTATTTATTTCCCTTTTGAGGTTTTTGTTTTGGCAGCTAAGAATTGAATTGTAAGAGTACTTTGTTCTTCTTTTGGAGAGTCCATTCCTCTCGAACGAACGGGAATCCTATCCTAATTTTCTGGTATTATTGAGTGTTGCTGTAAATTTGTTACTTCATATGAAGATTATGGAGGGCTTATAAGCATTCTTCACATAAAGAATGCAACTGATTTTATACGTACTTGCATTATTTATTTGTAACTTCTTTTACCTGGTTTGACCTGTAATAGTTTTCTGCATTGATCGAGTCTGGTAATATTTGTTGTCCCTAAGTATAGATTTGGTTTTGTTGCAATTGTCCCTGAGTATCGGTTATCTGATTCACTAAACCAGGCATTGTTACTTCAAATAAAAATAATAACTTTTGTAATCAGTTGTATGTTTATGGCCTTGGTTCCTTCACCCTACTATTTGTATACAAGTTATTCCTGAATGATCTGATACTAGTTTTGTGGGGTCGCAGGAAAGTCATGATTCGTGTAGATGCAAAACTAGGCGCTCCAAAGGATGGTGCCTCACCTATTGAATTGTTCCAGGTATCTCTATCTACAAATGTCGTGTATCAATATTTTCAACATCCATCTTGGTGTTTAAGATTACATGTCCATATTTTTGGATAGCTGCAAAATCTCTTTTACCTATTATCACTATCATTATGAAATGTTGATCCTATTGAGTTGGGTCCATGTGTGTGTGTGTCAAACGCTTATTTGCACATATGACGATGCTTTTCATCTTGTTTGAACATGTAGGCCGATATTTACCCCTTGAAAATACATTTGACTGAGACGATGTATCGGATGATGTGTGGATATTTCTTCACGGAGGAGGAACAAGACAGCCACCGGCGGCAGGTCATAAACTTACTATATATATCTCAACCACAAATAATTTTTTTTTTTTAGGACTTCAGAAGTTGAATGTGACTTTTCGACAAATAGGAAGTTTGGAAGGTTTCGACAACTGCTGGTTTAAGAAGAGGCAAAACCAAGGAATTAGAGGGATCCTCCAAATCAACCACTGTCGATCCCTTGGTAAGTCTTAAGATTTATTTTAGTGGTTTCATTTAGTAAGTAATGCTTGATGCATGCATTTAGGCATCAAAGAAAGGGAAAGTATCAGTCCCTGAGTTAAGGAGAAGCTCTTCTTTTGATAGAACATGGGAAGAAAATGTAGCGGAATCTGTGGCTAATGAACTTCTAGAACAAATGCAATCCTTAGAACAGGAAGAGTTGAGTAAACCTAAAGCCAAGGACCCAAAAACTTATGCAAAATCATCAAAAACTGGAAAAGCTTCAAAACCTGGACATGAAGAAAAGAAGGTAGGTAAACCAACCGACGGAAAGAAAGGCAAGCCTGAGGTGATTAGAGAGTTTCATAATATCAAGATAAGTCAGGTATTTCAGAGATAGATAAAAATTATGTGATGACTTCTTTTCCAAAGTTTAAGTAGAGCACTTATTTTTCCATTGAAACAGGTGGAACTACTGGTGACTTATGAAGGTTCAAGATTTGCAGTAAGTGATCTGAGGTTGCTGATGGATTCATTCCACCGTGTTGAATTCACTGGAACTTGGAAGAAGCTATTTGCCAGAGTTCAAAAGCATGTTATTTGGGGAGTCCTCAAGTCTGTCACTGGCATGCAGGTAAATAACACCTAAATTCGGTCTCTAATAACTTAAAACCGCTTAACTTTTTGAAGACAAAAGGCATTAAGATGTACATGATGTTCCATTTTCATTGGGCTTTTAAGTCATTTTCCCTTAAGGTTAATTAGCAAAACAGGCAATATCTCTAATGAGAGTTGGTTTGCCTTTTGAAAATGGAGACGAAATTGCTAAGAATATTATATCCACAAATTAGATAACATTGTAAACAAAGATTAAGAGATATTGTGTAGTATGTTTGATTCCATAAATTCTCTAATGAGAGTTGGTTTGCCTTTTGAAAATGGAGCATCATGTAGGTGAGTTGGCTAGCTATAAAAATATAAAATATAGGTGTTATTGTGTCCATTTACTTGGTTTAAAAGATGGTGTTATTATGTTGGTTATGCTTAATTTATTACTAGTTTATTATGACAATGAATATATAAATGTTGGTTGATGCAGGGTAAGAAGTTCAAAGATAAGTTGCATAGTCAAAACAAAGAACCAAATCTAGCGAATGTCCCAACACTTGATCACGATAGCGACAACGAGGATGGCTGCAAATCCGAAGGTTTTCCTAAACGGCCTACTACTGCTGATGGAGCTGGTGATGGATTCGTTACCTCTGTTAGAGGACTATTCTCGACACAACGCCGCAAGGCCAAGGCCTTTGTCCTTCGCACAATGAGAAATGAAGGAGAAGAGCCAATGCCTGGCGAGTGGAGTGATAGCGAGGATTATTCTCCTTTTGCTAGACAACTCACTATAACAAGAGCCAAGAAGCTCATCAAACGCCACACCAACAAGTTTAACTCACAAAAAGGTTGCATTGCATTTTTATTTATCTTAGGATTTCATATAACATGATATTTTTTATGTTGTCATAATAAAGGTTAAAAATGCTATCCCCTCACTTTTTATATACAACTCATTCCTGAGTTAGTGACGATGCCTAGTTGTAACATGCTCCATAACTCATAGGTTGTGTTGCTATATACTACCATGAAAATGATACCAAAGTATACTCGGCCAAATAACTTGAGAAAATTTTGACTAATGTAGCTTCCCTATGTATCAATCAGGTTTTTCTGTTGACGGACTTCCATTTTCACCGAGAGATCACGGGGCATCTGAAACTGATTCTTCGAGTGGTGATCCTTTTGAGGAATACCTCGAGTACAAGGCTGCCCAAGAAAAAGCTGCCCAAGAAAATACTGCCCAGGAAAACACTCTTGCTGAAAAACCACCATCCACACCCTAATGTGGTGGCTAAAAACAACCCAGGTTCATCAATTCAACGAACCATGTAGATATATAGTTTCTTTATAATGGTTTAACTGCAATTTTGATCCTTCTTTCGATCCTATTTATGGGAGTTGTATACGCGGAACAATTTATATGTTGTAGATGTTCTAGTTACCAGGCGATTTGACAATACTCAAGAGGTTCATGATTATGTATACATGAAATTTCTGTATTTAGAATCAAAATAACGGTGAAATTTTTTACCATCATTGCAACTCAACTAATTATATATATATATATATATATATATATATATATATATATATATATATATATATATATATATATATATATATATATATATATATATATTTATATTTATATTTATTGGATGGTACACAGTGTTCAAAAATTAAGAAACAATTTTCTTAAAACCATGAAGCTAAAGCACATGCAGCCACTTGGGAAGATAAGGACAAAAGGAGTCTCATGTCTTAGCCCAATTCGGTTTGTCTATGATATATTGTTAGGGCTGTAAACAAACAGAAAGTTTAAAGAACTGTTCATGAACCGTTCGGCAGAAAGTTAGTTTGTTTAATAAATGAACCAACATGAAAGAAAGTTCCCGTTCGTTTAGTTGAACAAACAAACATGAACATTGCTCTCATTTGTTCATATATGTTCGTGAACGTTCATTTATGTGGGTCGTTTATCTTCGTTCATTTAAGTTCATTTAATTTTAAATGTGTTTGAATACATTACTATATTATATGTCCAATTATGTTTGTTTATCTCCATTCATTTATGTTTGTTTTGCATGTTCATGAACATAAACGAACGAACATGAGCAATGGAATTTGTAAAACAACCGAACATGCATGAACAAGAAACATGTTCGTTTATCCGTTCGTGTTCGTTTGTTTGTTCGACTAACTTAAACGAACGAATATAAATAACCATCGTTCGTGTTCGTTCGATACATTTATAGCCCTACATATTATACCTCTACAAAACAAAAATGAGTTACAAATTCTCATTATTGTTAATGAAAAAAACAAAAGGGAGGAGATATGACATTGCGCTTTATGTCGTGAGTCAAAAGGTTGTATCATCCATGCTTTTTGTTAGGGTTTTACATTGACCTATTCACATGTCTCTTTATAGAAGAACAAGGTTTTTTCCTTCACCCTCTAAGGAGTTTTCTTCTATTTTGTGCATGATATATGTTACAGTGTGATTTAGATTTTGGTGGTGCGAATATAACCAGAATATAACTTGAATATAACCCGACATGAAAGAAAGTGAGAAAACTCAAATGACGAATTTAATGAGATAAGTGTTGGAAGTAGGTTGAAGTTTGTTAGACTACTCACATCAACAACCAAAGCCAACCCATCTATCTACTAAAAATGTTGGATTTTATTCAAAAATCGGTTTCTAAAAACACTAACGACAATGGAAGCTTTAAAATGTTGAATAAACTTAAAACCATTTTAACCCACCAATGATCATTTTGCATGAACATGAAAGACTAATAACAACCATAGGAAGAAAGAATAACAACATTTGAAGACTTTTATTTCTCTTGTGAGGTTGGAAGTTGTAGAAGATGACAAAAACACAAAGTAGAGCTCCTCTAGAGATATCCATCCATAATTACAAAGTTAACTTGGATGTTGGTATTTTTTATTGCAAAATAAGCTCTTAAATCTTTAAGAAAAAAAAAAAGCCAATTTTTTATCTTCAAGGAGAGCATAAAAATATCACTATTTTCCTTATGTCTTAGCTAATTAAGAACTAAAGAAAGATGAGGCAGTGAGAGCTTCAAAACCACAAAATTTTCATCATAAAAAATTTGAAAATGAAAACCTTTCTTAAGACTTTTATTAAGGTCTTTATCTAATGGATCTTAGCACTTTAAGACCCATGCTCAATCATATTGTCATGACATGCTTCTAAAACATGGCATTCCCTTTAAAATAATCAAGCAAGACAAGCTTGTCCCCTAGCTTTCTCTAGTTAGTTTTTTATATAAAAGAAAGAGAGATTTTATAAAAGTATTCTAAATTTTATATTTTATAAAGCCTTGACATCTTAGCTAAAATACAAAATGTCTTTAAGTCTGAAGAGATGTGCATAACTTTATATACCATACCTTATGATATAAACCATGATAATTATATTAAAATATTATTATTTTCCTAAAATAAATAATTTTCAATTAATTACTAGAATTATATTTATTTATCAAGGATAAAAATTTATAAATAATATATTTATGTCAACTTGTTACTGGTGTGATCTTTTAGGATCATATGTTATTAACAAATATCATTCTATAATAATACTTGAACATATAGATCTTTTGGTCCCTAACTAACTGATTCAACAAGTAACAATATGAATATGAGTAATAATAAGATAAATATTGAATCCAAAATATATTTTGATTGATATGTTTCAATGAACAATAGGTAATCAGAGAACAAAATTTGATTACATACACACTCTTGATCGATTACCCCTTACACAAAAGGGTATTGATAAAAATAAGAAAAACTTAAAGATCTATCCTAACATACAAGATAGATAAACATGGAAACATAATCCTATACAAGGTGAGAATCTTCTGTTATGATAACCCTATCTTCAAAACAATCACTGACACATAAGGATGTTATATTTACTCTTCAAGGCTTTATCTTCTACGAATCTTCATGTAGCTTCCTGATGTCATTGGGAAATGTAACCCCTGGTGACCATTAGTGGTACTAATACAACCATTGAAAAACATCAGCTGACTTATCCCATAAAAAGTGGGAGTTTTCTGTTATGGTAATCGAATATTCGAAAAATACCTTGACATATAAGGATGTTATCTTTACTCTTCGTGGCTTTGTCTTCTATGGATCGTCATTAGGCTTCCTGGTGGCATAAGGGGATGCAACCCTGATGACCATAAGTGGTACTGATGCAACCGCTAACAAACAACAATTAACTTATCAAATCAAAGAAGGATCCTAACAATCTCCTCATATTTGATAATGTCAATAATATCCATACTAACTAATTTTGTAAGAAACATAAAGAAAGTATAAAACATACAAATAAAATAAACATATACTTCACAAGAAAACTTCATCTGCCCTGTTGTCATATCCAGCAGCATCGGTCATGATTCCAGGCTTGATAAACTCAATTGATAACACATCCTTTCATTTTTGTCTTGATAGAAAATCCCATAGATGGGACTGTTAACAATTTTATAACATTCAGGAGTAACATTTGGAGAAAGACTAATGTTAATAACTCTGGAACCAAAAGGAACACGACCTTTGATATATTCATCTTCATACTTCTATCTTCTTCTTATTTTTCCTTGAGTTGGTTCAGGAATTGATGTAGGAGCTACAAACTTCCTTTTTTGAACTTTATCCATTAGCTTGCCTATAATAGTCCTTAATTCCTGATATATATATATATATATATATATATATATATATATATATATATATATATATATATATATATATATAGACCACTTTGTTGTTAGATACAGCTTGCATAATCTCTTCACATTCAGATTAGCCATACTTGGTGAGTTCAGAGACATTAATTACTTCTGAGTAGAAGTCAGGGCCACCTTATATTATGATGTTAACAGTTAGAACCCTATTTTTATTTGGATTAAAGCACCTAACTTTCATCAAATTTTCAATGTGAACTCTTCTACTATCAACATCACCATATATTTCTTCATGTGTGTTCTTAGTTGCCTGAGCAAGCTTCTCCCTTCTATTCATTACATGAAGGATATTGTTCTAAATTTCTCATTGTTGTAGCATCATATGAGGAGTGACAACATCCTGTAGGAAGTCTTTATTTTGCTTCAGAGCAATGTCATTCATTATAATGATGTTTTACTCTTTGAAAAAAAACAAAAACTTCCTTAATCGAACATCCAAGTCTTCCAATCATAATATGAACATATCTAGTAGCCCATCAACATTTTCTTTAGGTCTCTTGGAGGAAGAAGGTTCTAAAGATTCAGGAGCAAATATCTTATTGAGAATAGAGATAATGGGAGAACCACGATCAGAACTTGATGAGTCTTCTGTGGAGGTTTTGTTCTCAAGAGGAATAACATTCAGGGGAATAACAACCACAGGTTCATTTAGGAAATCTAACTCATACGTATTTAGTTCCTCATCGTTGTTGTAACATCCATAAAATTCATGAAAATTTTAACCTTTTAAAACAAACCACAAATCATCATTTGTTTACAATATAGTTTTCAAAATATGTTTAATATCATAGTTTTCAACAAACACGAGGAGGTGTATGATCAAGCTTGCGCCTTTTGCGATCATTTGAGGTACCTAAAACATAACCCAAAACTATAAGCCCAAAGCTTAGTGAGTTCCCCCCAAAGTACCAACACAACACATGATCATAATAATATCAGTAAACAACATGCATACAGAGCCTTCAGCCTAAATAGAATGCCTCATCAGCCTACAGTCTATCTAGTATTCTCACAGAACCTACAACATGACCGGTACGCCACACCGGGCCTTCAACATATCTAGAATGTTCTCCGAGCCTTCAACCTGACTGGTATGCCCTTACTGGCCTTTAGTCTATCTGGGACGCCCTGGGTCTGTTAACCTTTAGCACAAAGCATACAAGCACGCATATAACCAACCACACATAAATTGTGTCGACACATACATAACATACAAGCACGCATATAACCAACCAATAAAAAAACAGAAAGATCTTACAGATCACTAAACATAGCACCATTCTATCTACCACTATACAGATCTAACATATCACTATAGTACATAATCATATGATAAACCCGGATAACAATCCAAAGAGCTGGCCTTGGTGCCTTCGACCCAAAAGGCACAGTGAGGAAAACTCACCTCGTAGATTGAATAGAACTGATGAGGTCCGACTCTGAATCTCAGCTCTCTAACTGATACTTATTTCCACCAAGTTCTCAATTCCATAAAAATCCCAAAATACCCTCAAGGTCCAACTTGGTCAAAGTCAAAGGTCAAGGTCAACAGTCCATGTTGACCCAACACGCCGTGTCCCCCTTGGTCACGTCGTGTTCCTCCGGCATCCAAACTATCAGGGAAAACGTAGCTAACACACTGTCTTGACTTGGAAACACGACGTGGTCGGCTGAGTTCCAACAACTTAATACATTCAGCTGCCCCTTCGACTCCAAGAGCTCCAAAG